TCCATGGGCAACGGTAGCTACTCACCATCAGGTTGGCCGTATGCTCGTCTGCCTACAAAAAAAATCTGCGTGGTTATTACTACTACTACCTGCTACTTTCCTATCATTCGTCTGTAGCTTCAGTATCTTCTATTAATGCAATTGAAATTAACTTTCTGAGCATTTCGGTTACGGTTAGCATTCGGTGACCCATGAGGTCGCATTCTCAGATTAAAACATCTCACTGGTGGTCATGCGAACGTTACCTTAAATTAAAATAAGATAATGTTATATATACACATATAATCTGTATCAATGAAACTAAAATATAAAACAAAGAGACAGTGGACGGCTACTAATAATAATATCGGATTTTCTTTCTAAAATTTCATGAATTAGTCCTAAGTTTAAACTATGGCGCGCGCGCGTACACACTCATGCAAAGCTTAAACTTACAAAGTGTATCGGCGAAAGTAGCAACATTACTCTTTGAACGTAGGAAGTTTGTCCGTAAGGTTACGATAGATATTCGGGTTCATTTAAGAATTTGCGTTTTGACATAGGTGTGGTACACTGCCACAATATTAACGACAATGCGAATCGGATGAATCCTGATAATGTAGTTAATAATATTTAGGCCACGGGTATCTATAAAACTTTTAATTGAACAATAATGTAGTGTATATGTAAAAATATATTAATATATAAATGCATTGTAGTGTATTCAACTCTATAATTATTCGAATAAATAATAATAATCAGATCGTTTTTTCTGATAAATTATACCTAATTATCCGGCGGCAACTCAATTTATTTAAAGCTTTATTAAGCACTCGATGTCAGATATTTAGAAATAAGGAATTATCGAAGATAGCTCATAGTCTACATCAATTGTGTATCCCCCAATGATTAAAGAAAGACTTTTAATTTTTTTCAACTGTCGGCCCCATGAAAATTCATACTTATATTGGTGGGCACTGACGGGTCCTATTTGTAAGGCTTGTTCTAATCAAAATATTACATTCTGAAATGCAATTCTTATCTATTAAAATTCGGAGCATCTTATGCCAAATAAAAATAAATAATATGTAACTATACTTGAGACCTTAGAACTTATATCTCAAGGTGAGTGGCGCATTTACGTTGCGGATGTCTATGGGCTCTAGTAACCACTTAACACCAGGTGGGCTGTGAGCTCGTCCACCCATCCAAGCAATAAAAAACCAAAATTTTATGTAGGTATCTTAAGTGATAATTTAATTGATTGCGTGGCCATTAAGATTGACCAGGGACGCAGGTTTGAGCAGATTTCCATTAAAGGATTCAGTCGCGGTGAAATCGTGAGAAGAACACAACTTGTTCAATAGGTTTTTTTATTTCACATGATCGTCTTTTTAAATAAATTATAAAAAAAAAACTATACTTGACTATGTAACTATACTTGAGACCTTAGAACTTATATCTCAAGATGGGTGGCGCATTTACGTTGTAGATGTCTATGGGCTCCAGTAACCACTTAACACCAGGTGGGCTGTGAGCTCGTCCACCTATCTAAGCAATAAAAAAAACCCACTTTGTTTCCGGTGATAATAGCATAGAAGTCGCGCGTTAGGCGCGTTCATCTATCTTATCGCTAAAAGCGATCTCTTCCAGACAACCGTTTAATTTACAGAAATTCTGGAAAATATAAAAATATAGCAGGTATGTTGCGGTGTACTATAGACAATACATTGGTATAGAAAATATATACATACAATAAACAGATAATAATATATACCGTTTACATATACAGTCAAAATCTGTTATAACGACATCGAAGGGGCTGCTCATATTCAGTCGTAAAAACCGATAGTCGTAACAACCGGTGATGTTTAATGTGTATCGTGCAAGTACAAACAAATCGATAGGGAATTATTGGGAAAATATATTTATTCAACTATGTACATTTTGTTTATTACACATAAGTACAATGCATATTATTTTTCAGTGAGCATAAAATCTGTAATTTTGGTCTATTTGGAACACTTCTGTTGTGCATAGATATTTTGTAATTCACGTTGGATTTTAATTAACGTATCGTCATCGCTCTTTCCAAATGGTTGAAATTGTCGAGTGTGATACACCATATTCCTTTGCTAAGTCTTTGTTTGAAATTCTGCTCTCTAGCTTGGATATATTACGCGATTTTTCTTCAATATTAATTTGTTTTCTTTTTCTTTGCCACATTTTTAAAGTTTCATGAATAATTCCACAAAGTTTTGGTGCGTCTTGTGTATAGATAAGTAACAAACTAACTGAAGAGATATGAAGAAGCGGGCTTTGACTCGACTGCATGCACGTGTTTTGTTTCTAAGAATTAGAAAAGACCCTACACTAAACTAAACCCTATTGTTTTCTTTCCTGATTTTAATAGCCATTTAAGACAAATGTGGATACCTATTCAAATTGTTTACAATACAGCTTAGCCAGTCGTTCTAACAGATCTAATTCTGCGAAATATTAGTTAAATGTGGTCGTTTTATGAGGTATGTCGTTATAAGCAATGTCGTATAAAGCAATGTTTTTAATAAGGCGGTCATATAGCATTCAGCCGGGACTTTGGTTCTAGGTTATTATAACCGGCATGTTGTTCTAAACGATGTCGCAGTAAACGGTTTTGACTGTAATATGAAATGTATAACTATTTGATTTATATACCAATATACTTACAATACATACTATTATAATACATATTTAAATGTTTTATAGCCTATTTTTTATTTATTTATTAATAATGTATTTATTAACCTTGAAAACATTTACACATATAAAAGTTTGCTAAAAACTCTCCACACTAGGCACTGCCTGTCTCGTGGAGAGTTTATTTCTGAACTTGGTTGACTAAATAGTAAATAGTCAACTTCCGTGTTATAATACTGTCACGATTGTATGACAACCACGTCTATAAACAATAAACAAAACAATTAGAGCATACATGAATAAAACAGTATTTATTTTAATTAGATTCAATAATGGTAATATGATGTAGTTGATATCCTTAAAAGTAGGTTGAAGCTTCGGAAACGAAAAGTATAGATTGTGATTAATAACACATTTAATAACAAACATGGTATTTTATATATTTTTTATTTTTTTTATTTATTGATGCACAAAACAAATTACAATCATTACAGTACATATTAGCTAAATCGTACAAGTAGTAGTACCTAGATCTAATCTGGATTGCAATCTAAATAGTATGTGCACTCAGCAAAACCATATTAATGTGCATAGCTTTGGCTATTGAAAACACAATTGAAATTACAAATATTGATAACTAGCCATTGTTAAATAGGATATCCTTCACACATTTGACATTTTCTTGTTCCTTTATTGAATAATAACAAGAGAATACTTTTTCGTGAATTAGTTTTGTCTTTTTTTTACCTCACCTATTTTCTGGTAGCCTAAGGGACTATTCCTGCTACGCTTGGACGGGTACGTGACTTACGTGAGTTCACGGGTTCAACTTGAATATCCTAGGACTAGCTCTAGCAAGAGCAATGCTTCGCAGAATCTACCACCGGCTTGGAATCGCGACCTACTGAGAAGATCCGGCGAGAAACTCAGTAGTCCGTGCCTATGGGTTAGTTCGCTCGAACTCTTCATCGTTATCGAAGAGTTCCAACTGCATACATGAGTTAACTTTTACGCCATCGAGAACGTTAAAAAACTCACACTAAGCACACTCTGTCCATCTGTGACACACACACACAATCTTACCGCATAAAATATAATAAAAAGGATTCGTCTTTTGAACTTAAATGTTCTTCCTAAAACCAGTTCGCGTTCAAGTTGAATGACATAAGGATATTTGCATATTGATTGTTCGCAAACTTGTTTAGAGGTACTGTTATATATTCAGAACTAATACTACATAATAGATTTATAAAACAGAAAATTTAGCAGCATTGTAAATGTTATTAATATTAAACTAAGTTAATTTTGGTGCATCGTGTGGAAAGATAACACTGAGGCCCGAGACGTAACCGTATCTGCTTTGAAGCATTAATATAATATTTAATAACGTTTATTGGCTCTTTTTTAAGTTATTAGAATTATGACTGATGAATATTAGGTATTAGTTACAATAACTTATTAGTTAAAAATGCAAAGAGCAGTGGTAGATGATTACAATCAATACTGGAGAACATCAAAAGTAACTTAGTAAATGATCACTGAGTTTCCGATATTTCTCAGTGGGTGGCGTCTCCAATCCGGTGGTAGATTTTATTTATTTATTTTTTATTGCTTAGATGGGTGGACGAGCTCACAGCCCACCTGGTGTTAAGTGGTTACTGGAGCCCATAAACATCTACAACGTAAATGCGCCACCCACCTTGAGGTATAAGTTCTAAGGTCTCAATATAGTTACAACGGTTGCCCCACCCTTCACATCGAAACGCATTACTGCTTCACGGGAGAAATAGGCAGGGTGGTGGTACCTACCCGTGCGGACTCACAAGAGTTCCTACAACCAGTAATTACGATGTTATTCCTTCATTGTGGAAGTCAATCGTGAACATTCGTTAAGTACATATTTCATAAGAAAAATTGGTACCCGCCTGGGATTCGAACACCGGTGCATCGCTCAACACGAATGCACCGGATGTCTTAACCTTTAGGCCACGACGACTTCACTGCTCTTGCTAGGGCTAGTGTTAGCAATCATTCCGCTTTGAGTCTCGAGAGCTCATCTACACGCTTCATGTCCTTCTTCAAACGAGGCTTATGGAGAGTATTAAGCGGTAGGCAGCGGCTTGGCTCTGCCCCTGGCATTGCTGAAGTCCATGGGCGACGGTAACCACTCACCGTATGTGGGCCGTATGCCCGTCTGCCTACAAAGGCAATAAAAAAAAAAAAAAAACGCTAGGATAAAGCTGAAATAAACTCTCAAAGCTATCAGCACAGGTAGGAAAAAAAGTAAATGAAATGGGCTTAACAAAACTTGATTTTCAAATGTGTTTTTTTTTTGTTAACAGGTAAAAGATGTGGCTTCAAGCAATTTGTATTTACAGCGTCTTCATAATTATAGAATGCGGGATGTGAGTATTTTGATAAAATTTTGTTGACACGCTTTTAGTAGCAAAGTTTGTTTGTATTTAAGAAAACTTCTGAATGTAATTTAAAAGAGTGATAACTATACAAAATTTTTTTTATGACTTTGACTTAGTTAGTTGACGTCGACCAGCATTTGAAAAAAATAATGTAATTTCTATTTTTGGCGCCGACTAGGCCAAAAGTGGGCAAGGAAAACTTTCGGAAAACACTGGAATAGTGCAAACGAATTTGTGAGAGCAATGAGTAACTCCATGAGTTGCATACCTTTCTGACTGACCGCGATCCACTAATACTCGCCCCCATAACCTCCTGGCCGAAGACTTCATATTTTCTAAAACAGTTGGAAACCAACTACTGATTTATGATACACATTATATACACACGAGACTATTCATTATATGGGTTCTATTTCTGCTACATATTACTTTTGTTTTATTGATCACCTAACATTCAGATTCATGCATTACGATTTGTCGTATAGATGGAACGCTTTATTGCACATAAAAATAAGTAGATACATGGACTTAATGCTTTATGATAATTTGATATACAATACCTCTGATACTATACTGTTTAAAGTAAAAATTTGTAAAACACTCCTATTTAAAATGTTACTACTAGATATGAACAAATAACCTTGCGCTTATATACAATATTGATTGACACTAAACCGTTCACTTATGTTAAAAAAATACATTCAGAATTTATTATCAAGTAATCGTGTATTGATTGAATTTGATTTGTACTTGTGTGTAATAAATACAATTTATATCAGCCAGGTTATGCTCTGTCCTTTTGAGTGCCGTTTAAATTCATCTATGTAGCAATTTGTTAAAACATGGCAAACAGTTGAGGTCACCCGAAATACGTCATTTTGGATCCTCCCGATTCACCATCGGTGCCTCAAGCACCGGTCACCATTCTCGTCGATTGCGACGAAGGGCTCGGCGAGTAAATTAATCCATAAGCACAGCTCACGGAGTTTCTCGCCAGTGGATCGCGTTTCCGATCCAGTGGTAGATTCTGCGAAGCACTGCTCTTGCTAGGGCTAATCAACGTCCGCAGGCTAGAACCCCGTGAGCTCTCCTACTCATTCTGTTACGCTGGCATAACCCCCTAGGTTACCAGCTTAGGTAGGAAAAAAAAGTTAAAACTACTTCCACCACTTCCACACTACCTATGATTTTATTTATTTTACTCGTGGTACGGTGTCTTGTGAGCGCGCACGAGTATATGTACCACCACCTTGTCTGGTTCTACTGCGAAGCATTAATGCGTTTCGACTTGAAGGGTCCGGCAGCTGTGTACTATAAAACTTGGAATTCATCTCTCGAGGTGGGTAGCGGCGTACGTTGTTGATGTCTATAGGCTTCGATAGCCATTTAATATCAGGTGGGCCGTGAGCTTATTTAACCGCATAAGCAATACAAACAAAATCCATTGACATTCATTTGTGAAAACTATCAGCGCGGTTATCCATGCTACCACTGCGTTCATCCACATTGCGGTTCATTTTAAGCGTTCCTATTTAGTACTTTCCAAAACTAACATACAGTTCGTAATAACTTTGTAACCCTTCATTTATATATGCCAAAGCTTTTTTAAACAATTTCACAAGTGCAACTTTCAAATGTCATTATTCTAATTCTACGAGTAGTCTAATTTGGTTTTTTTTTTCCATTTTTTGTGCAGTACCCTCTAAGTATCATGAAGAAGCGTTCTTTACCTTATCCGATCTAGATATATCAATAGTGGCAAATGGCAATGCGCCGCATCTTTGGTGTTCCCATTGTACTGCGGTATTCATACTTGTCTGGATGCAGGTAGTGAAGGACCGGTCGCACTGGAGATGGATTTGAGAGGCCTATGTTTAGCAGTGGGCAGCGATAGGCTAGGATAATGATTGACACTCATTTATCACGATTAATATTTGAATGATTTACGAATTTTAACAAAATCAAATACGTTTTGAAGAGCGATAAAAAAACGTTATAATTTCCGTTAATCTTCTTCTGTCTATTCTATATATTATATATATAAATGAATTCCAGTTCGATGGTCTCGCTAAAACTCCAGAACGACTGGACCGATTTGGCTAATTTTGGTCTTGAATTATTTGTCGAAGTCCAGAGAAAGTTTAAAAGGTAGATAAATATGAAAATGCACGGTATTAAATAAAAATAACAATTTTGTTTTTCCTTTGATGTGTCCTCCGTCGGACGGATTCCCTTTGTTTGTTTTATGTTTATTTTATGCAAAAGTTTAGGTCTTTTATTTATCGATTGAGGCACTACGAAGTCTGCCGGGTCAGCTAGTGTGATTTAAATAGGTAACTAGTATGAAATAGCGAACTTTAGAATGCTCTAGAAGTGACTTAGATTGCGAAACAGCGTTTGACCAGTACTGGCAGGATATTGCGTCATAATTTATTAGTTTTATATAGCGTTGGTGTGTTTGCTGTGGTCACTTAACATTAAGTACATTCAGTGCTTGATGGTATCATGTTAGTAATTTAACAGTATGGGGTCTACGATTGACAGTGGCAATGATGTCTCGTTAAGGTGAATTTATTAGTAGGGTCCTTTTCAATTTTGCGGCCAAAAAAGTAACGATTTAAGTGCTTTTTAAGATATTATTGAAATAAAAATCTTCTACTCGTATCTGTCAGAAAAATATTTATAACTTATCACCATGCCACTCACGCTTTTTTTTACAATAAAATATATTTTTTTACACTATTTTCAATTTAAATTTATTAAAATTCTATTTTTTAGTTCAATTTTATATAAAACGTGTTTTTTTGTTTTTTTTAAACTATTATTTATTAATGTATAGCTCGTAATTTAACAGTGTTAACGAATATATAGTTATAGGACAATAAATGACATCAAATTTACTGTACTTATAATTACGGTAACATTAAGGTTATCATATCATTATAATCAAATAACTCGCTTTTGGCCTCAAATTTAAAAACGACCCAGCAGCCGATCACAATAATAACTTCGTAGATTTTACACGATCTTTCTTCCCTTATAGTCCGACGGCAGCCGAAGAGCACTCATTGTGGAGATGGACGTGCGAAAACAATAGATGCACGAAGATCAGGAACGAGCCGGAGAATAAGGAGCCTGTCCTCAGTCTGGAAGCCTGCAAGATGTTCTGTGACGATTATGGTGAGTACGGAGATACATGAAACAGGCGTACTATGCACCGCCGCTCTAGGTACCATCATCCCGCCTATTTCTGCCGTGAAGCAGTTATACGTTTCGGTTTGAAAGGTGGGGCAGCCGTTGTAACTATCTGAGACCTTACAACTCATATCTCAAGGTGAGTGGCGGCATTTACGTTGTAGATATCTATGCGCTCCAGTAACTACTTAACACCAAGTGGGCTGTGAGCTCGTCCACCAACCTAAGCAATAAATAAATAAAAACTTAATTTATAGAAAGGTAAGAAAATAAGACTAATATAGCTAGTGCTGTATGTGTGTGATGCTACTACTGTAAATCGGGCCTTAATCACTTTACAAAACTTTTTTGTTTTGGTGTGCTATAAAGTGTATTCTCTCTCTCTCTCTCTCTCTCTCTCTCTTTCTTTCTCTCTCTCTCTACTCGATCTGCGGACAAATATATTGGAAGCAACCTTTGTTAAAGCCCCGGGCAATTGAATGGTCGAATTTTAGTATCCTCGAAGTTTAGAATGCTACATCCTATGTATATTTGCTCTAGTGTAATTATCCAGGGAGTTTATACTGAAATGCCCTGTATGGATTTTCTTCTTAATAAAATTTAATCAAGAATATAATAGTCTATAATAATAAAAAGGCCAAGTCAAAACAGTTAAGATAATTAATATCTTTGGCTACCGTATTTCTGATTTTTTTTAGTGCAATGATATATATTTCTAAAACTAAAATTGTTAAAATGTATATTACAAATACTATTTTTTTGACATGACTTACAAGAGAAAAACGTTCGATTAACTTGAAAATTTGCATATGCATTATGCCCCGATGACAAAACAATTCTTTTTTTTTAATCCTACCTAAGCTGATGGTGTAGAGCTGTAGAGAGACCATGTCAGCGTCACCGGGCTAGTAGGTAGGCTTCTGACGATTTTGCTAACACGAACCCTGGCAAGAGCCTTCGCAGAAACTACCAACGGATCGGAAACGCGACCCACTGAGAAGATCCGGCGAGAAACTCAGTGGGTCAAAACAATAATTTTATAACTCTGCTTTAATTTTTTTCTCTAATCACTGGTAGCCTAAGAAGCCTATTCCAGTTATTCACGGCCTTGTGGCTGTGCTTACGGGCTCAACCTGAGAGTGTTTGAGCAGTGCTTCGCAGAATCTACCACCGGATCGGAATCGCGACTTAGAAGATTCGGCGTGGAACTCAGTGTGCTATATCTATAGGCCAATTGGCATGTCGAACTCTTCGTCATAATCGACGAGTTTGACGAGGACGATAACCGTTGCTTGAAGTGCCTAAAAGCATTGAGAGGGGATCCGACAAGACATGTTTTGGGGGAAGGCGGCTTAGCGTTGCCCCGTCGCCTGTTTCAATACCCCGACTAGTATCAGAATGATAAAAGAGATAACATTAATCGTTAGCTACGTTTGCTGTTTGAGCATATTTTGTTAGTTTTTAAACTACATATGATTAAATACACAATTTCGTTTTGTCTGTTAACAGGCTAGGTCGCGAAGCCATACTAAATCGTTAAGACGTATCGATTTTTTTGTACTGTGATGATGGGGCGTGATGTTAACACGCACGAGTCAATATTAGCTTATAAATATGTAAGTTGTGGGAGTAAAATGAAAATTCACAAAAACAACGACATATTACAACGACTAGTGGTCCCCCGGTAGTCGAAATTCGACAATAATTAATTGAAATTATAAGTTTGTACACTACTATGATTCTATTGTCAAAGACTATTTATTATTGTGGCGAGTGAGCAAGTCAACTCGCACATCTCAACGCAGCACCGAAATCATACGATTTTACGTCACATCAGGTGATCCGAGCACCTATGAGGGCGGCTAAATCCCTGAAGGTTTGGGAGTCAAATTGCCTTCCACGGTCTGTAGTGATGTGCTCAGGACAACCAAAGCGTGATATCCATCCAGTGGTGAGAGCGGAAGCACAAGTTTCTGCGGTGATCTTCTGTAGCGGGTATGCCTCAGGCCAACGCGTAGCGCGGTCGATGACGGTGAGACAGTACTGGTAGTTGCTCACTCGCCACATTATACTTCTATAATCACAGATTTTGCCAAGACTACACTTTAGACAAATATTAATTACTAGCGACCCGCCCTCGCTTCGCTTCGGAAACATTAAAACACACATGAAACCAAAAAAAAAAAAAAAGTAGCCTATGTTCATCAGGGACAATGTCGGCTTCTAATGGAAAAAGAATTTTTCAAATCGGTCCAGTAGTTTCGGAGCCTATTCGAAACAAACAAACAAACAAATCTTTCCTCTTTATAATATTAGTATAGAAGACAAACAATATTTAATATATTCTCAATTTGACGACAGACTAATACAGGTTTATTAAACAAGAGGAAAAGTTTGACATTAAACAAATAGTAGATACCTATGTTGCGTGGGTGTGTCAAATACATGGTAGTCGGTAGTGTGTGTAATATTTTTATTTATTGATTTAATGTGTTTTTTCCTTAATTAAAAAAATATATTAACATTCTGCACTCCTTCTCTATACTCTCTATAAGTGTGGGAAATTTCATATTCCTTCGTCCGCGCCATTTACAAGGGAATATTTATGTAGATACCTTTAAGTTTGATTATAGTTTACATTAGCAAATAGTTACGTGAGCAAACTTGTTACACTCTTCAGAAATAAGATAAAACCTTTTCCTCATATAGACGTAAAGTTGATAATTGTTGTTTGAGTGAAAGCACATATAACCTTATGTATCTGTACCAAATTGAAAGCGTATGAATTGAAAACGAGTTTACAGTATCAGCCGTGAACTATGGTATGGAAAATCAAATGTACTTTCACTGAATGTGCATGCGCTTCGTTAATTCAATTATTATATTATTATTTAATTTGTAGAAAATTTGTCGTTACGGGGTTTAGTGGTTTTTTATTAACTAGTGGTCCCGTAGTAGTCGAAATTCGACTTTAATTAATTGAAATTATAAGTTTGAACATTATTGTGGTTCTATTGTCAAAGACTATTTATTATACATTCACTATTTATTATATTTTTAAATCACAGATTTCGCCAAGACTATCGACAAATAATATTAATCAATTCTCAATTATTCACCACATTCACCTAGTCACATCTATGTGCTTCGGAAATCACTGAACACAAGGTTAATTCGCCCGTCTATATCATGCACGATCCCGTGGACCGAATGATAAGCAGTCCTCCCGATCCATTAATGGTGCTTTTTAGGTACCTCAAGCACCGGTCACCGTCCTCGTCGAACCCGGCGCTTGCGGCGAAGTGCCCGACGAGTGAATTAACCCATAGACACAGCCTACTGAGTTTCTCGTCGGATCTCCTCAGTGGGTTGCGTTTCCGATCCGGTGGTAGATTCTGCGAAGCACTGCTCTTGGGCTCTACTGCTAGGGCAAGTGTTAGCAACACTCCCGGTTTGAGTCCCGTGAGCTCACCTACACGTCAAAGCGAAGCTGAAATAGCCTCTCTAGGCTATCAGCATAGATAGAGAAAAAAAAAGAATTTGTCGATGTATTTAGGTTCCGATAGCCACTTAACAACAGACGGGCCGTGAGCTGGTTTAGCTATTTAAGCAACAAAAAAACAACAATCATTTTCCTGCAGAAGTAAGCAAATCGTTGACACCAAATTGTATGGGTAGCTAATTCGCTCTACCACCGTACACGAAAATCAAAATGATGATGTGAAAGTAGTAAAGTAGTAAATCGGCAGCTCTAAGAAGGCGGGGTTGCTTTTACGTATTTTACTAGAACTATTTACCAGATCTTCCGACGGTGAGATTATCTAGATCATGCTCGTATGCAGTTTTTATTTGTAACTAGCGATCGGCCCTCGCTTCGCTTCGGAAACATTAAATTTTATTATTGATAGCTGAGTCCCACGATGTTACTCTCGTTTATTTTGTTATTATTGTTGAAGTTAGTCTAAAAAATTAGCTTAAGTTACTCCTTATATCATCAGCTACCTATCAGTGAAAGTCTCGTCAAAATTGGTCCAACCGTTCCAGAGATTAGCCGGAACAAACATATAGACAGACAAAAATTGTAAAAAATGTTATTTTGGTGTATATATTCATGTGCATGTAGTAAAAAGCGGTTATTTCAATATTACAAACAGACACTGCAATTTTATTTATATGTATAGATTCGCAGCCTATATCGTCTTATCGTGTACTGGCAACACTGGTCGGTGGTGCCTTAACCTGACACGCTATATTTACCTGGTCTCTTTTTCGTTTATCTGCATATTTTATGGAACAGGTAGGTAATGAACCAGTAAGGTTCTTGACCGTATTGATAAATTATGTGAATTTAATAAGAGATGAAAACACGTAACATGTTTCGTGTCAGGCAATCCAATCACATTTCAAACGGAATTTAAATTATTAATAGTATGCGAATTAATTGTATTCAGTAAAAATCTATACTTGTTGACTGAACTACGTTTTCGAGTCATTGAACCGAAAAAGTCACTAAAGATTTCAAGAGAATCTAAAAAAACAAGCTCGTTTTTTATGTGATAAAGTTGAAAAATTACGGGTGGGTGTTTTGGATCGAAAATAAATTTTATGCCCGAAAAGGTTTTAAACAAAGTCTTCGCATATTTTTTTTGGGTTCATAAGCGGTTTACCGAATAAAATAAATGTTGTTATTCAAAATGGAGATCTTAATAAATACGAGGGAGAATTCGTTAATGGTGCATTATGTTATTTACCTCTGAAAATACTAAAGGATCGATGTTTTGTGGTAGAGGTTTTTGTTCTTAAACAAATTTGAAACACATTTCGATCTCCAATTATTGATAAAACAAAAGAATAATATTGTTATTACAATAGCACGAATTGAACTTTTCAATGGAATTTCAGTAAATTCAGCTATTAACTGAGACGAGAATAATTTCTAAATCGATCCATTGAACATTTTGCTAATAATGGAAAGAGCTAAAGTTATAATAAATCGGTTTTAATTTATTTAGTGCTCTCAAAATAGCTATTTATTTAAATATACATACATTAACTCGGATGCTACCCAAATTGAAATTAAAAATTAAAATTTATTTATCTGTACATAATGTCCGTTAGTTTTTGTATTAAATAAATTAAGTGATTAAAACTATATTTGCGGTTTAATATCGCGTTTATTTTGAAAGTTTCGAATACTATACAGCTTGCTTTACATAATTAAAACTAACATGCGAAAGCAAAGATATAATACTAAATCAACAATGCCATTGGTGCATTGACCGAGACACTATAGTTTGCATTGTCCATTAAACAAGTCTTGTATGTAATTGTTATCTTTGAAATACCTACCGGCCCCAATTTATTTTGAATATGGCAGTCAAATTCATAAAAAAAAGGTATTAATAGGCGAATCCACGACGAATGTGAATGGATTTTGAAAGTTCTTGATGACTTTCAAATCTTTGTTTCAAAGGAGTTGATAAGTATTCCGTCGATTTAAAATTTCTATTGGTCATTACTGTTACTTGTCTGTACGACTTTTACGTGACGTAATAAAAGTCGGTCGATTCGTTTTGAAATAAATATACAGAGTCGTCGTGGTCTAAAGGATAAGACGTCTCGTGTATCAAGCGATGCGACTATGCCAGTGTCCCACAGGGTGATTTTTTTTTTTTTTTTTTTTTTTTTCAGAAATACAAGTGACTTTGATCTCAATACTTACAACGAAGTGGCTCATGAGCTTGCTCATCCAATTAGTAAATTAATAATGGTGTTAGTGAAAAGATACCTGGCGTGTTCGCATCGAGCCATTATGTTGTAGTACCGCTCAGGAATAGAATTCCAAATTATAAATGAAATAAGAAAAGTTTATAAATTTCCGTGATCATTTTAATTAGGGCTTATTGTGGAATTATGTTGGACTATCCCACCCAGTAATCACGCTTCCTAATTTGAGGGTTACTTTATTTTACATCGTCGGGTAAACGAACCCACCTATTGTTAAATGGTTACCGGATCCCAAAGGTATTACAACGCTATTTTTTTTATGATTGGTGGCCCAGAGGCCTTTCCAGTCTCACCATGACAGGTGGGCGAGCAAAGGCTCAGCCAGGTGGGGTGGCATTTGTTAACAGCTGCCCGAGCGCCTCCGATAGAGACCTAATTACTCAAAAACAATTGGTTTGCGAATGAATCTACTACCGGATCGGAATCGCGACCCGCTGAGGAGATCCGGCGAGAAACTCAGTGGGCCGATGCATGAGTTCGGGCATTACAATATACCATCTTTAACACAAGAGATCTTCAGGATTTGACTCGATACGAGCACGCCGGGCGTCTTATCTTTTTTTTATTGCTCTTGTAGGCAGACGAGCACATGGCCCACCTGATGGTGAGTGGTTACCGTCGCCCATGGACTTCAGCAATGCCAGGGGCAGAGACGAGCCGTTGCCTACCGATGGCCATTAGGCCATGATGAATTCAAATAGTTGGGAGAACTATTATAAACTATAATGGATGTCGATCTTCCGTCTCTAAATAGGTTGTGAGTTTCAATGACGTATAGACAGTTGACAGTTATATCGTATATGTCTATCTTCACAGGTCTCCTCTGGCCGAAACCAACGATCGAGACAAATCTGGGTAACTTCCTCTCCAAGATTAATATGAACACCATCGACATTCAGATCACCAAGCAGGGAAAGAGCGACGACCTCCTCACAGCTGCTGCCGACGTAAGTGTCTTTATGATTTTGTTTACTCTCTTTCTCGGCATGGCAATAACACGGCAGGTTCATTGTTGCAGCGTACTATTCTCAAAATTATACAGAGTGATCTATCAAAATAGAGCAAACCCTTAAGCACATTATTATATATTTACTAGCTTAGTCCTGCGATTTTAGCCGCGGTTATTGTCGTACCGCGGGTGACGCCGCGGGGCGAAGCTAGTCAAAAAAAAGTAGCCTACGTTACTCCTTATATCATCAGCTACCTATCAGTGAAAGTCCCGTCAAAATCGGTCCAGCCGTTCCAGAGAATAGCCGGAACAAATAGACAGACAGACAGACAAAAATTGTAAGAAATATTATTTTGTATGTACCGTATATACATGTATTCATATGCATGTAGTAAAAAGTGGTTATTTCAATATTACAAACAGACAATTCAATTTTATTTATATATATAGATAAACGACTTATAAATATACATACGTCAAATATACTTACGCAATATACCTAACACTTTGCTTACAGAGGTTTAAGACACTGGTTTCCAGTTCCGTGCCTAAAGGCTTCTCGGCGAAGGCTGCAGGAAAATCGGTCACAGTTTTTTTAGTCAATGACAATCCTTATATCCGAGGTAAGGCGGTTTCGAGAAACCAATAATTATTCACTATTCTTTTTTAAGCTTTGAATTGTTTTTGTTGAATTTCTGGAGTGTGGTCTTTGTACCGTACTGGATTATTTTTTTACGCCATACACTATGAAGTAAATTATTGGTGGTAGGACATCTTGTGAGTCCGCACGTGTAGGTACCACCACCCCATATATTAATAGTACATTGTGCACCAAGGGAGAGAAGTTGGACATTTCCTCCCGCGTGTAAAATTGCTACCCGAGCCGAAGGCGAGCCCTCTCGTAGGTACTCATAAAAAAAAAAATTAACTGTTTTTAATTTTTAAATAAACTACTACAAATTGAATAAGAACTGTCTGATGAACTCATCTTTGTTTAATACTTCACTATTAAATTTTATTGCCTTTTGTTTATTTCACTTTTACACTAAACACAATATTGCAAATTACCCGAGCACAACAATGGCGGAGAATTTTAGGTGCGTGAGAGCAGAAGTAGACACTAACGCGCATGCGCACTTGTCAATACCCAGGGAGGAAAAGTTAGACTTTCTTCCATGTACAGCGGGACGAAAACCGAACTTTCGGCGTAGGTAGGAGAAAAATAGCCCCAAAAATTTCATCCCTCGATATGTAAAATAATTGAAACAAATATGATAGATAACTGTGACACGCGGCCACGGGTGCCTTGCGTCTGTTACCAAGTGACTGTAGAGTTTGGCTTAATCAAACCTTATTATAGGTGTATAAAACACTTACGTTGGCACAGAATTCTCCCTGGACATGGATGAGAGCTACGAGCTCTACATTTCATCAACGTCGAGCGACAAAGTGAACGCTACCATACGTGGAAACTCTTTCTTCGGCGTCCGTCACGGTCTGGAGACGCTCTCTCAGCTAATCGTGTACGACGACATCAGGAATAATCTGTTGGTGAGTTTACACAGGGCTCTAAAACGGCGATACATTAAGACAAATATTTGTTTGTATGGAAACTAGCGACATCTTGTAGCGAATGCCCCTAAAATTTATAGAATATAAAAAAGAAACAATAAATCATACAAGTATTTATTTGTTATAGACAGATTGATGAAATTTTATCAATTTGTAGTTCCTGAAAATTACAAAATCCTTCATTAAACATAAAATATAGGACAAGTAATATGTTACTGCCATCTACAGCAGCAATGAGAAACTAATTGAAGCGTAGCCATCTACTGGTTGATGCCCGTAAACATTTTTGTTGAGTGCTCGAGTTGCTTATCTATAACTAATTTAAGTGTATTTATTATCTATGAGTTAACAACTCACAGAATGACGAACGGGCGTTATGTGACGGTAGTTATTACCTTTGGCGACTTTATGATTTGAAAGTCGATGACACGAAAAAACGACATTAAAACGGGTCAGATTTAAAAAAAAGCAAATAGATATGTATGTCGCAGAATGGACCGATTACTGCATTATTTCTTGTCATCGTGGGCGCACGGTGGGTAATCGTGCAAAGAGCTTGCGCAGCACAAAACGATGACAGTTCTGAGACGTCTTCACTCTTCTCAAGTCAGGCATCGAATGTCTCGATTCATTCCACTTGAGCGATGACATCTTGATTCTGCCGAAGCACTCCACCCGAAGTGAGCCGATGTTTCACAAGTAGTTGCCGTTCACACCCACTAGATGTCGCGCTTTCGTTTCGTCGTGTATATTTGTATATTTGTGTATATAATTTTGTCCACACGGGCAAAAGACAAGAATGCAATGCATGCAAAACGCCAATGAAATCCTAAAATGAAATTGGTGATAGTCGAAACATTTCGCTATCTTTCTTGCACGTCCGCACTTCAATGGCAGTGACTTCAGAACCTTTTGTCATTTAACAACTACCCCCCAAAGAGATTTTTAACGTAATTCTGAGCGTGCCTATTTTAGACTTAAAATATGTTTTTGGACTTTGACGTAAACAATCTATTAAATCGTGTTTCAGATTGTCCGTGACGTCACAATTAAGGACAGGCCTGTCTATCCTTATCGAGGTATTTTGTTGGACACCGCGAGGAACTTCTACTCCATAGAATCAATCAAAAGAACTATAGGTGGGTATTCCTAACCATAGATTATAAGTGGTTTCCAATCATTTATAAATTTCTCAAAATTATATCCATATCTTTATCCATATGAACAATTCTAATTGTAAATGTGATGTTTTAATGTTCACGATTTTGCCACGGTTAAGGAATAATATTGTGTAACAAATCAAACCCGCAAAAATTATAATTTGTGTAATTACTTATATGTGAGCCCACAGGGATAGGTACCACCACTCTACCTAATTCTGCTGTGAAGCAGTAATGCATTTAAATTTGAAGGGTGGGGCAGTCGTTGTACTGTAAAAACTGAGACCTTAGAAATCATGTCTCAAGATGGGCGGCGGCATTGAGGTGATTGATGTCTATGGGCTCTAGTGACCACTTAACACCAGGTGGGCAGTCCACCTATCTTAGCAATAAAAAAACCAAATGGTCACCCAACATTAGCGGAAATGGTGATAACGCCACATGAACTGCCACCATAACCGGCGACTCGCATAAATTCAATATATCTACATAATTATAGTACTCGCCAAACTTTATGGCCGCTCTGAAACTAGCCGCATTACGCTGCGCAGAACACAAAATCAGGTATCAGCGGGACGTGCGCGGGGCATGGAGGCAGGGCACCTCGCGCGCGCTGTGTCCACCCGCAAGCGTCCTCGCCTCCCGCGCGTTAGTGTGAGTGCTACGTTCGTACACCAATCACATACTCGCTGAGCTCTGACAGTATCGTCGCGTTCAGAATAGTTTCATATTGTTACTTCTTTGTTATTTGTTTCTCGTTGCAATCGTTATTAATTATTAAAAAAAATCTTTGTTATGAAATATCCACCCGACTGTACCATGCGTAAGTTCGTATCGACAGCTATATTCAGAGTGGGCATAAAGATTGGCGAGTACTATTTATAATATTATGTAATTTTCAGACGCAATGGCCGCAGTGAAACTGAACACATTCCACTGGCACATCACGGACAGCCAGAGTTTCCCGTTGGTGTTACAGAAAAGACCGAACTTGAGTAAGCTCGGGGCATACAGTCCCACCAAGGTACGCGAAATGTTTATTTCACTACGTTCAATTCATAATCGTACTAGCTGTACCCGTCCGCTTCGCTGGGCACTTAAAATTAACATTATTATTTTTCACCCCCACAAAGATTCTCATCCTTAACGCCCCCGCAACTAGTGTAGGGCGTCCAACATTCATATAAATATTAGCCTATCCATTAAGTACATGTATTTTCTACATTGATACCAAGTTTCAAGTCAAACGGATGCATGGTACGAGTGTCGTTAAATTTTATACATGTTTATATTTCTCATTAAAAGTATTATTATCAATTTGTAATTAATCCCTTGATAAATGTACAGTTATTTTTATAGTTCATACTATTTTATTTTACAATTTATCATAAAGTATTTTACTTACCGCATTATTATATATTAATGTAAACGATTTTAAACTTACCTCTTTCCTTTCAAATTGTGATATTTTTTAAAGTGTGTTACGACAAAAAAAGTTTGAAAACAATGCTTTAAACAAAGAAAAGTAATTTGTTGGTGTGAATGTATGACTGCTGTCGGAAGTGTTCGAAATCGTCTTTGGTGTACTTAGTTAATAGTGGGATCGTTAATAATCGTTTTTACCGATCTCATAAATGGAGGTAACTAAATTGAACATTTATCGATAGGTGTACACAAAGCAAGATATTCGTGACGTTGTCGCATATGGCCTAGAGAGGGGAGTTCGTGTTTTACCGGAATTTGATGCGCCCGCTCATGTGGGAGAGGGATGGCAGGACACTGGACTCACCGTGTGCTTTAAGGTAAGCTTACAAAATGACCAGGTTGATCTGAAAATTGTGGTTATAGCTAAAGGCATATTTACGATATGAGGGTAATAAAAGGCTCCATAATACGGTGAAAGAATTGTCGAGGCGAATTGTGAAGAAATTTCTATTTTTATCTTCTTAGATTTTTTAATGAAGGGTTTCGAAATCGAAAAATAAGTTTCACGTTCGTTATAATCTTGAAAACTCAAGCGGATGTAAGTAATCGACCTGGTTATATACGGATTTGAATAGAAATGCCACTCCAGGCGTTCAAATCGGTTTCAATGCCCGAGATTTTTTTTTTAATTGCTTATATGGTTGGACGAGCTCACGACCCACCTGTTGTTAAGTGGTTACCGAAGCCCATAGACATCTACAACGTTAACGCCGCCACCTACCTTGAGATATGACTTCTAAAGTCTCAGTATAGTTACAATGGTTGCCCCACCCTCCAAACCGAAACGCATTACTGCTTCACGTCAGAAATAGGCAGGGTGTTGGTACCTACCCGTGCGGACTCACAAGAGGTTCTATCACCAGTAAGAACCATTTTCCCACACTCATGCTAATACAAGCTTCGAGAAAGAAATTTTGACCAACCATCTTTATGTGACCGGGATTGTTATTTGAACCAGGCGGAGCCGTGGACGAAATTCTGCGTGGAGCCGCCTTGTGGTCAACTGAACCCGACTAAAGAGGAACTTTACGACTACTTGGAAGATATTTACGTTGAAATGGCTGGTGAGTGATGATGATGATGATAATGGAGGTACCGATGACGCGATTGGATGTGTACGATGGATCTAATAGGCTTCCGGCGTAGGAAATTTTGTTATTGTAAGATCTCGGTTATTTTGTCGTATAATAGTTTTTGAACTGTCTTCTCTTGGCTTGTTTATTTATCCCGCTCAAACGTGAACTTTCAAAACAGGATGGATGATCTGTTGAATTCCAGCGGTATGGATGGACGTATTATAATACGTCCCTGAGTTTAAGAGATAGCGCGGATTGCGTTTTGACCCTACATACACATAATCTTGTTTACTCCCTTATTAATGGGTGTTCGAAGAAAATAATTTGGCAAGAAAAGACTTTATTATTTTAGAATCCCGTTTTCTGTATGTTCGGGAAAGGTTTAAGAAGACAGCGATTGTAACAATTAAAAGATTCCTCGGTAACCGCGTCTTTTTGGATCCCGATCGCAACAAACCATCCACTTTAAATTGGGTACATATAGTAAATATTTCTATTATACCAACTTGCAGACATGTTTGGTACGAACTTCATTTTACGAAAGAGCTTAATAGTATAGCTTATTGTAATTTTGTTTTGACTTTTTCCTATCAACCACAGAGGCGTTTGAGAGCACCGACATGTTCCACATGGGAGGAGACGAGGTCAGCGAACGCTGTTGGAACTCCTCAGAGGAGATCCAGAACTTTATGATTCAGAACCGATGGAATTTGGACAAGAGCAGTTTCCTGAAGCTTTGGAACTACTTCCAGAAAAACGCTCAAGACAGAGCGTATAAGGTACTTCCATTTATGTTGTTAACAAAATTAATTTTCAAAAATTTTTGTATCTTATTCACGAGAGACAATGCATCGAGATACTGTTTTTTATTTTTATTTTTTAGATGTGTGGACGAGCTCACGGTCCACCTGGTGTTAAGTGGTAACTGGAGCCATAGACATCTACAACGTAAATGCGCTACCCACCTTGAGATATTAGTTCTAAGGTCTCAAGTATAGTTACAACGGCTGCCCCACCCTTCAAACTGAAACGCATTACTGCTTCACTGCCGAAATAGGTAGGGTGGTGGTACCTACCCGGACTCACAAGAGGTCAATACCACCAGTAAACTACTGTCCGGCCGATCACTGAACTATTAAAGTACTTTACCAAATAAATTATGGATTTATGTGTCAAATAATAAAGGAGAAACCCCATTTTGGGCCTAAGCGTTACACGAATGGGATATGTACCAAAAAATTCGTCTATTTTGCTTGATTAACCTATTGAAATCTTAGCTTCATTCACAATGGCCAAGTGTAGAAAATAAGTTGAATTAATTTTTTTGTTTTAAACAATCTTTGTAAACATCTGCAACACTTATTTCAATATACGTAACTAGCTCCACAAACGTGCGGATTAGAATTAGAACATCCATAAAATAGGATCGATTTAGTGGAAATCAAGTGTAAAAAATAATTAATACTCTTTTGCTTTAGGATAAATGACTGTTTTTATAGGTATTTTAATCAATGTAAATAGAGTATGGCCATCGAATCGTGACACAACTACTTACAATGGCGGCAATTCAAAATATCTACAACCGACAACATTAAATATAGCATGAAAGGGTAGTTTTGCATTTTTATATTAATGTGACTATGCCATAGAAAAACACAAATGTATCAAATCGTGTTATGTTATCTTTAATGTTGCCAACTGAAGATATTTTGGATTTTGCCGTAAAGCAGTAATGCGTTTCAGTTTGAAGGGCGGGGCAGCCGTTGTAACTATACTGAGACCTTAGAACTTATATCTCAAGGTGGGTGGCGCATTTACGTCGTACATGTCTATGAGCTCCAGTAACCACTTAACATCAGGTGGGCTGTGAGCTCGTCGATGGGTATCTAAGCAATAAAAAATAAAAATAAAAAAGGCATGAAATAAAATGAAATGAAATGTGATGAGATAATATTATGGGAGCACGTAATGATTTATATTTTATATAAAAAAGTTATCATATAAATATAGTTTTTCATATAAAAAAGTTTTCATTAAAATTAAAATAAGACTGACCTAAAGGTCTTAGTTACCAGGTCATAAAATCCCTTAAAAAAATCATTTCGTGCGCAGCGCGTTTCGCATTACGTTGTTTTTAATTTTTGGCTTTCGTTCGTTTTCGTAAACAACCTAACGCGCGATTTCTCGTAACAGGTTCCATTTTTATTTTAAAGCAACCTGTTGCTGCAACAGGTTTCGTAAAAAATTACTCATCTTTAGTAGGAAACAGCCTCAAAAATATCATTTTTATTAAAATATCTCGAACAATAAACATAACCTAAAATGTAAACATTGTCTGATTTTACCAATTTGGCCATTGCTGGGAGACCTGAAAATTAGGCTCATGAAACCTTCTTAGGTATTGTAACTTATGCCCAAATTCTAGCACTGTAACGCCAGGCCCAAGTTTGTATGGATTTCGGGTTTGTCCTTTGATACTTGTGTTCACATGTCACGACAGATTTTAAGTGCAGCGTTGCTAATTTACCAGATATATTGCTAAAGAAAAAAAAAGCAATGTGGCCAGTTTTTTTCTATCATTTCATGAAAAAATGCTCCTATAGTTGAAAATGGTGTCCAGTAATTAGGTTCGAAGTCTATCGGGTAATTGTTCAGTACAAGGACGCACAAATAGCGCTTTGTGACACCACAGTATACATATCCCTAGTCGCTAATTGATTTTGTGTGTGTGTTTGTTGTGTGCGTTTTTTTCTGTAGCAGATGTGACCAGTCGCAATCGAAAAAAAGGGTGCGTGTACTTATGTACGCGCGTAAGAAGTTAATTTTTTTTTTTTTTTTAAATATTGAATAATTAATAATAAATATTTAACGTTAATAATTTAATAATATTTAGTGTGAATTATATTAAATAATAATTTTGTCATTTATATTACTAAAAAATGAATGCTAATAACACTTTTTTTTACGAGTGTATATGCGCAAAAGTTCACCTGCGGCTATATTCAGACTCGCCAAGTTACGTCGGTCATATTGTAATGAGCGAAATAGTGGGCAACTTCATTTCTGACGGTAAATCGCGCGCATCGTAAAATTTCACTCTCATCAATTTTTAATAACGCGCCTAAAGAAGTATAACTTCAAAAAAAAAACCACTATCTACATCTACTCCACAGATTTCATTGTTCTTTTATATTCTAATTATTTCAGGCCTTCGGTAAACGACTACCTCTGATTCTATGGACCAGCACATTGACCGACTACACTCACGTAGAGAAATTCTTGGACAAAGACGAATACATCATACAGGTAAGACACTTATGTGTTGATGCTCATGGACATCACCACGTTAGCGCTACTCTAAGGAAGTGGAAGTTTTATGATATTGGAACAGCGCCAATCATGCTGAAGAAAGAAAGAAAGCATATTGAAAATGAGTTATTACATAAGTTAAAAGCAGCGTGTATGCTTTGTCATTATTTGACATGCGAATTTTAGAGCAGTGCAAGATATTATGATATTATATAATTTACCATTCACTCATCCATAATTCAACTAATAATTAAAAAATCGTGCCTAAGAAAATAATTTATGTGATAATAATTTTCACTAATAAGATTATCTTTTAGTTTTTTCTTAAAATGAAAATCGTCTAGGTCTCTTGATTTCTTTGGTAGTTTATTAAATATCCTAACGCTCATACCTAGTATACTATTAGTTTTTAATGTAGTTTTGGATTTTGGAAAACATAGTTTATCGTCACGTCGATTTCTATTTACCACATCAGACATCTTGGTGAATCTATTGGGACAAGTTTTAACAAAAGATGCAACTTCGTATATGAGGCCCTCAGCGCAAAAGCGGCCTAAGCTTACCATAGTTTTATGAAGCAGTGAGGTTTAAGTTTTCAGGAATTTGAATTAAAAAAAAAATTTGCACAAAAATAATGTTTACAAAGCCATCTGCTATCTATGGGTGAAACTATGGATAGGCCGGTTTTGCATCAAAATTGAAATATACATATAAGCATGATTATGAAAAATTGTGGGTTAGGTCACTATTGCGCTGACGGCCTCATATATATAGTCAGTGGCTCTAAATTCCAAAAGAAGGTCACAGGCGGGCGCATCACGATGCTCAGCAATGAGCAATCGACTGAAGGAGGAGAGTCTATAATTCGAATACTTTTCACTTCAGGTCTGGACCACTGGAGCCGACCCACAAATTCAAGGTTTACTCCAGAAAGGATATCGCCTGATCATGTCAAATTATGACGCTCTATACTTTGACTGTGGATTCGGGGCATGGGTTGGGTCTGGTAAGCTCTTTAATCTATACTCAAAAGCAGTACAGCGCACAGAAACAGTATCTACTAATAAATATGGTAGAAGAACAGTTTCATTTTACTAATGATCCCATCTAGGCAATAAAAAAAATAAAAAAACTATGACGTCACAAGATGTCCGGTTGAATGAGGATATTTGATGTTAAATTTTAGTGCCGTATGTCGAATATATATTTTTCAGGTAATAATTGGTGCTCACCGTACATCGGGTGGCAGAAAGTATACGGTAACAGTCCAGCGGTGATGGCGCTCTCGTACCGAGATCAGATCTTAGGTAAATACTTTTGATGCGCATAATTTTTTATCGTTTTTTGTAATGGAGATTCTCGATTCGATCCGGTTTTTTTGGAACGAAGTTCCTTATGAGAGGTTGCGAAGGGGTACCCTGACTGGGAAAAAACGTCCGTAACGTAAGATTTTTATTTACTTTAATTATCTTTACGGTCATTCCGTTTTCTGATTACTGTTAATGGTAGACTAATAGTAGGAATAGGATATGTGAATCATAGAGAAATTAAAAAAAAATCTAAGAAGAATACATACGATTTTATCTATTTATTTGAAACTAGTATTGATGTGTTTACTGCGTGTAGGGTGAATGAGCTTGATACTCACCATCAGCGCGACAAACACCACAAGGTCAACCCCACGGCCCTTGAGCATGAGGTCTGACTTTAATTGTATAGTTTACTGGCTGTCACACAACTGGAACCCATGCTAACTTAGTGGCAGAAATTGACGGGTCAGTGTCAGTGTACCTATCTGTCGTGCTTACAATACGTCTTACCAGTGTGTAGGTACATGATCTTTCCCGTATGTGAATGTTTCGTAAAGTTGCAGAAAGTCTTTTAGGAACTTTAGCAGCTTTATTGGTGGTAGGACCTCTTGTGAGTCCGCGCGCGTAGGTGCCACCGTCCTGCCTATTTCTGCAGTGAAGCAGTAATGCATTTCAGTTTGAATGGTGGGGCAGCCGTTGTAACTATACTTGAGACCTTAGAACTTATATTTCAAGGTGGGTGGCGCATTTACGTCGTAGATGTCTATGAGCTCCAGTAACCACTAACACCAGGTGGGCTGTGAGCTCGTCCACCCATCTAGGCAATAAAAAAAAGATGTGTGGTGTCGTGGGACACCGGATAGGAACGAAGGTCCTTATTATAAAAATATTAATTTTAAGTTCTATTCGAGATATAAAGAAATAATTATTCGGGTATACATTTTTTATTATGAATTTTATTCACAATGATTTATAAAAAATATTTAATAAAAATATGTTATTTTTTGTACGTTGTTACAAAGTTAATTCGTACACTGTGTGCGTTACTATTAAAAATCTTACGTTACGGACGTTTTTTCCCGGTCAGGTTACCCCTCCGCATCGTCCCATAAGGAACTTCGTTCTAAAAAAAATCGCTCGGAGCTATCGGAACTTATTTTATTTGTTTGTTCTATAATTGGCAAGGTGGTGAAGTAGCGCTGTGGTCCGAGCAGTCAGACCCTGCCACGCTGGACGGCCGACTGTGGCCCAGAGCGGCTGCCTTCGCCGAGCGCATGTGGGCCGAACCTTCCACCGCGTGGCAAGATGCCGAGCACCGGATGCTCCATGTCAGGTAAGGATCTGCCCACTCAAGCCTATTTATTAAGGGATGTTAATGGGCCAAATATCCGCACCTACTGGTCGAGAGAGAGAGAGAGAGAGAGAGAGTATTCTTTATTGTACACCAAAAAACAAATAAACAGTGCGATACATTAAATACAAAAAAGTACAATTGGCGGTCTTATCGCTAAGAGCGATCTCTTCCAGACAACCATCAGGTGGACTAGAATCATTTGTCATCATCATCAATTACGCGCAGTGTACCAATCTAGTGATATATATATATGTACACATACATATACACATACATACACATAAACATAGGTACATACATATATCCGTAAATATACATACAATTAATACACAATGTAATATAATAATTATTATTAAAAATTAAAAATATACCTCCTTACCTCCTTATTTGTTACTGTCCCAATAAGTCCTGGCCTGATTGAAAATTCAATCTGTGTGTTTGTCTCATGATAAAGCATCTTTGAATTAAGGTCAACTGATTGGATTGTAGTGACAGACACGCGAAACATTACGCCTGGATCTCAATTGCATTGTACCTTATTAAACCCTTTAAGCCTTATTGTATCCCTTATATCCTTTTCTACCCCATATAAATTATTCTACTTTTTTTACTTCAATTTCTGCCACATACTATCTGGCTTTGGAATGAGCTATCCTCCACGGTGTTTCCCAAGCGCTATGACATGTCCTTATTCAAACGAGGCTTGTGGAGAGTATTAAGCGGTAGGCAGCGGTTTGGCTCTGCCCCTGGCATTGCTGAAGTCCATGGGCGACGGTAACCGCTCACCATCAGGTGGGCTATATGCTCGTCTGCCTACAAGGGCAATAAAAATATATATATATATATATATACAATTGGCATAACAGGCGACTTATCTCTGATGGTAAGACGACTGTATATACAGTTGTATTATCTGACTTGCGTAACCGATTAACGTGTAACTAGATATACCACGAACTTGTGTCTCCACTTATGTATAAGAAAGGAAATATATCTATTTAATACATTTTGTTTATTTAATTTTTTCAACAGAGAACGTTTGGTAAGAATGGGAATTCAAGCTGAATCGCTTGAGCCGGAGTGGTGCTATCAGAATCAAGGACTTTGCTATGGTTAGAGTTCATAGACAACGCGAAGAGGATGTGCTGCCAGCCTTATGAATAATAAATAACAAAGACAGACAATACTATCCTAAAAACTCATCGCAACTTTTTTCGAATAACCAAAATAAAGAGGAATTCCTTTGCTTTATTTTGTTACATGAAAAAATTATGTTTAACAACAAGGTTTTTTGGGCGTAATTACAATTTGAAATAAAAAGTAAGCACTTACTTTGCCAGCTTAAAAAAATATAAGCGAAATAATAATTTTAGAAAATAAAAACAAAATGTATAATGTTAAAATAGGATTTTTTTATTCAGTTAACAAATATTATCATAATTTAGTTTTATTTTGTGTATAAAATAATTAAAAAAAATACGATTTCCCCGTGATGTTCTATTTCCGTAGAGCATTAAAATACACCAGTTACTGCCATTATTTGCATAATAATAAGAGTATTTTGAGATTACATGACATTATAATAATAATTAAGTTTATAAAATATATTAAATTAAAGATTTAAAAGTTTGTAAATTAATCGTGATCAAAACGTGTATTCGCGTTGTATAATTGTGTACTTTATAGCATATATTGTATTTTTTAAGCCAAGTCTTTTTAAATCTTTCAGTGCACATGCATTTCTACAGTAAAAAAAAATCATCTACACTGTTGACATATTAATATGTCATGTCACCGCGTATCCGCAAAATTTAAAATTCCTGTCATTGTGGTTATTTATTTGACCAAGGGTTTGAGAACCTAGCGCTTATTTTGTTCAATTTAATTACTGTTTATATCTACATTTGAAAACGATGATGACATGATAATAAGATTGAAAACACAATTTTGTTCCATCAATTAATTAAACGAAAATAAAAAATAAAACGAATGAGAGATTAAAACAGTAAAATGTTTTAAGTAAAAATGGTAAAATTTTTCAATAAAAAATACATATATCCAAAACGGAGCTACGATCGGATTTTTTGTCACAAATTATTTCAGTTGATAACAATTCAGTTTCGAGATATTATTCATTTCACAAATTTTACGTTCCTCCAGAGAAAATGCTATATTTGTACAAGATCTCGACAATGTATATATTTCGACAAAAAATATTTCGATACGTGATTGCTTCTTACACTTTCGCGTTTTAAACAATTATTGTTAAGAAATCTGACATAAGCAATAAGTGTGTTTATAAGTGTGGAAACATTTTTGGAATATCTTCACGAGAAGTTATAAATAAGATTAATACTCATATCAAATATTTTTAAATTGTTTTACTATTTATATTTAACGTATTTCTATCGTCACATATTATTACTAAATTGTAATACTTATACAGCATTTACTATTTACACATTAAATTTGATATTATTATACTATATACTTCATGAGCACATGTGTGTTTTCATATTCTTGTGACTTATTAATGTACACTTATTGGTATTTTTAATAAAATTCTGCATAATGATAAATGGTGTTTTCATTATTTTCGCCAGTTCGTTGACAGACAAAAGAGATACTGAGCAAAACAGACAATTTATTCAAATAAATACTTAAACTAAAACATAAATTAATTATTTCTCGCAAATCCTCTGTTATTGAAGCCGAGTAGATTGCCACCGACACCATTGTTGAATGGTCTGCCCGCGCCAAAGTTATTTTGCCCGATCAGACCGCGGTCATCGCTAATTATGCCAACATTGCCGGTGCCACACTCGTACAAGACAGTGCCAATGCCGTTGTCAGGTATGGTACCCTCAACATTCACCGTTCCAACGAACGGCATCTTTCCAGTTACCGAAACACTGCCGTCCATCATTAAATTTTCAGCTAATATCGACAGTCCAGTCGGCGATAGAGCTGTGCTACTAGTTACAGCTAATTTCGAAACGGTACCCAGGTTAGACGGATTTAGGCCAGTCAAAGTAGCTAGCGTTTTCTTGTGATTAGCTAAGTCAAGGTTGCTATAATTAGGTAAGTTTGTTCCAGCGAAAGCGTTGTTTACTGAGTTGGAATTTGCTAGTGGACCGACCGTTAAGCTATTTGCCGGGTTAATCATGTTGTTTAAAGACGCCGCTGTTACACTATTCGCTATTCCATTAAAAGCATTCTGATTCGACAAGTCTAATGAAGTCGTCGAGAACCCGGGATTGTTAAGAATAATATTCGAATTACCAGTGGGAGCAGACGGTAATGGGTTCGTTAAAAAAGCTGGATTCGCTACGGTATTTCCAAAAGTTCCAGCAGTTCCTGTAAATGGATTTCCGATTAATCCTGCTTGATTAATCAAATTATCGATGCCCGCACCTCTCACTGATCTGATGTTTCCATCAATAGCTGCTCTATTAGTCAGGCCGTTACTTAAGCAATTCGAGAATCCTGATACCGCCGTACCAGTTCCAAAGCTGTTAGGGAATCCTTTGAAGCCTGATATACTGTTAGAAATTTGATTTGCCGGACTGTTCATGAAACTGGACTGAAATGGAAATTGGTTGCCGATTCCACCGAAAAGCGTTCCTCTAGAAGATCTATTCAAATCGCTAATATTATTTGGATCGGTCAATGGTTCCGGAGCGCTGTTCTGAAATGATAGAAGTCCACTTCCGAGTCCCAGGTTGTCCATGTTATTAATCGTAGGTACGTTTCCACCAATTTGATTTGAATTTAACAAAAAACCAGTTGTATCACCATTGCTGATGGCCACATCTCCGGTGCTTAAACCATTGCCAATAGACTGTGCTAAATTTATCTGAAACAGAAAGATATGTGTGACAAGAAAAAAAATTGAACAACTGGAAAATGATATAGTTTTGCGTCGCTACACAGTTAAATAATAAAGTTAAATTCTTACCCGCAATAGGGTTACGATAAGTATTAACAGCTTTAATTTATAAGTCATCGCTCACAATGCTAATCCACACTGATATCAATTTAAAATAAATATTAGTAAGACTGTATATAGGTAGTATTCACAAACTGAATGAAAAAGGGTCTATGCAAATCATTTATAGTAATGATTTCTCTCTATCTTCTATCTTGATTGTGTGATGTTATGTAAGGAAACCCTGATTAAACATTATATTTTCACAATAACTCGATAGCTCGTAGAATTTTGTAATTTAATTAGGAAAGAAATACAGAAATAAGCATAGGTTTCTTATTCTTGAGATAACTATTTGCGTTATCGCGTTGATCAATAGTAAAGTTGAAGAATTTTGTATTGATTCAATATGTAATCATTGATAAATTTATAGAGTTATTATAATTGGATTTTTTCTAAGGTTACGGACTGTCATAATGTGTTGGTAGGGCTCGCAAGGGTAAAAAGTGTTTTAAATTTTTTAAGCTGCGCTCTCCCTTACTTAAGAGATAGTTGAGTGTTTGCAGGATATATAATGGTCTTTTTTTATTTTAATGATTTATTGCTTAGATGGTTGGATGAGCTCACAGCCCACCTGGTGTTATGTGGTTACAGGAGCCCATAGACATCTACAACGTAAATGCGCTACCCACATTGAGATATATGTTGTAAGGTCTCAGTATAGTTACAACGGCTGTCCCTCCACCCACACTGAAACGCATTATTGCTTCACAGTAGAAATAGGCAGGGTGGTGGTACCTACCCGTGCGGACTCAACCACCAGTAATTACGCAAATTATAATTTTGCGGGTTTGATTTTTATTACACGATGTTATTCCTTCATCGTGGAAGTCAATCGTGAACATTGGCTAAGTACGTATTTCATTAGAAAAATTGATACCTGCCTGCGGGATTCGAACACTGTTGCATCGGTGGGTACGAATGCACCGGACGTCTTATCCTTTAGGCCACGACGACTTGAAATTTATTCTCGACATAATAATGAATTAAAACCTTAAAGCTTACAACAATATTTAACAATATTAGTTTAATGAAATGTGGAAGCCGCGCGTATCCCCGCTGAACCTAATTCATAGTAACTGTAATTGTAACTGTATTGGGTACGTGGAATGTGATAAATGTGAGTAAAACTATTTTTTGTAAATATCTGTCTAAAAATTAAGAATGATTAAACAGTGATTTAAAACCGAGAACGACAAAACCTTAGAACGATAGTTCATACGTAAGCCTAGTTCGATAGTTTAGAAGGATAATACTCTTCCTTCTATTTGAGAATAGATTTTTTTTTGTTTTGAAAATACTGATGAGCTCTAGTGTTATTAGTAATTTTTTTTGATACAGGTTTTTTTCTGTCTACATAAAAAAATGACTATGTCAAAACAAAAGGGAAAATGTCATAGGTAAGTAAAATTGTATGTAAAAAAGTTGTATGTATGTACAATTGTATGTATGTACATAAAATGATTTCTTTTTTCCTAAAAAAAGAACTAAATGTCTCCGTGACAATGAGTAGGTACTGCTCGGTGAGTTCTTGGTGATTATGAGCAAATTTTGTCAACTCGGCGATAATTATTTATTCGTCTTTAATATTATAAATGTGATGATGCATTTGTCTGTTTGTATATCCTTCCTTTACGCCGAAACGAAACAATGGATTAATGATTGAAAAGTGATACTTTGAGGTCGGAATCAAGACATGGGCTACCTCTTATACCGAAAAAACATTTCGTTCTCACGGGAAACAGTATTACCGACTATCTTTAAAAAATTACGTGACACATTTTGACAAATTAATTTATACTTATCTTGACGACGTGGGCGAAGCTGCGCGTGTGATATCTAAATATAGGTTGTAAATTGACATCAGAAGGGAATGAAAGGACAGGACATTGCGATTGACGTTCTTTGATCTCATGCGAGGTTCCACATAGGTCATCATAGCTTTTCAGTTTTTTGAAAGTCACATTAGGTAGTTACTATTTGTAATGCAGTTAGTCTGTGGATAACGAGAGCTATGTTTTGGTAGCACGTCATCACTTTTTTTCATTAAATCTCATTCTTAAATTTATCTTAGTACCTAGTTTAAATTAGCTGTAAGTTTCTCTTTCAATTTTTTATGCCAACAGGCAGAATGTACTGGGGTTGAATATATTTTATACTGAGGCCATACTTGTAGGTACCTGCATTCTCTTTAAATAAAGAAATTATTATTATTATTATTATTATATTACATATTTCCTTTGATATTAGGTAGTAAACTTTTTTTATGGGAAAATTGGCTTGAATGTCTCATTACAATAGGTAATTTCAAATAGCTTGGGTGTATTCGTTAAATTTTATTTGCCGTCCTAACTTGGTTATAGTGTGTGCGGAAGTGCTAGTCACCTCCTGAGGTATGTGGCGAGGTGAGATGGGTATGGGCGCGAATGACAAGACGCACACGATATTATATCTAAGTGCAGATAAATTTCAGAATAACATGTTAGAATTAATGTAATGGGTACCTAATTGTAATAATGTATTTTTCTATTTCCTGGCTAAACAAAAAATGCATATTCAAAAGTGTTTATTATATTTTATTATATACGAAACAAAACAATTTTGCAAATTAACATTTCATAATAAGAAAAGAAAAAGACACTATCACCGTTATAGTACATTATAAAAAAATAATATTTATTTATCAATTTTGATTTTTTTATCAATAAAAAGTGATGAATTTTCCTTCGTAACACCCCCATGTCGTTTCTTTAGGTTTTCGTGGAGAAGTAAATTTTGGTTTTTCTGATATTTACCGATTCGAATTTCCTTCATCTACAATTCTCATTACGCTCTGAGAAAAAAACTGTACACATTGTAAATTACATTTTACACTGGTCGTGTAATTGGTGGACCCATTTTAGGATATTTTATCTCGTGTATGTTTTGAACAAACTGGCAAGAACAACTAAATTGTGTAACCGTCGCGGTGGTCGACGGCAGACATATTAAAATCTTACTCTATGCGGCAGACTGAGCTAGCTTGACGTTTGTCTACCTCGCCCGCCCTGCATGCCGCTCACATACCTCAGGCGGTAACTAGCGCTTCCGCTATTTGTGACATTTACATGACAGACTTTTTGTCGGGAGCGCGAGGAGCGAAGTTGTGTGAATTGTTTTATTTTGTCTATTTAGTGTTTCTTCAGGTTTAAGTATATAATAGCGGTGGTTTATTGACTGTTTAGTATCTATAAAAGTGTCCAAATGTGAGAAAATGAAACAAAGCCACTGGGCGTAGCTTCTCGAGAACCACCAAAAAGTCTACCAAAACCACAATTTTATAGAGATTATATTTCATCTCATATCATCTTATTGCATTTCATTTCATTTAATTTCATGCCAATTGATTAATGTTTCAAATTAAACAACTCAATTTCATTTCACTTCATATTATTATTAACATTTTTCATAAAATAAAAAATTTAACATTAGGCTGTATGGTATGAATCCTAATATACCTTTCCAGTTGGAAAAATAGAGCTTCAACTTTACATGACATTAACGCTGTCAAGCACTTTTATTTGTTAATTAGATAAAACTATTTACAAAGCTACAGAAAGGATTAAAATTACATCTAGAGCATTTCAAAATAGATCTAATAAAGACTTTTAGTACCTTCGTTTAAATATAATATTAATCACCATGAGTTGTTTCGAAAACATAAGCATGCCGAGCTGTGTTTGGTTCGAAAGCGGTGAGAAACGAAACATTTTGGCATCAATATTAGCGGGACTGCTGGTAAGTTAGATGATTCATGATTATTTTGTCATTGTATACATTTCTGTCACTCTTGCAATATATTTCAACAACAAAATATTTGGTAAATGCACGTAGGTAGTGTTTTTTGTTAAACGTATGGAATACATCATTTATAACAATGCCATGTGAATACTTACTTTGCATTTTTCACGTAATTTACTTGTATCTCTCATAAGGCTTCGCTGATAACATGAATGGTGTCTGAATTTCTAATGTCATATAAAATAGATAACAATAATTCTAAATACGTTAGATTCTGATCTCTAGAACAAAAAAATGTTTTCTTTTATTGACCTCTGGTGTCTGCCTGGAGTTTAGCATAGTAAATCGGTACAATAAATATAAATTAATTTTTTTGGAGAAATCTATGGACAGAATCATATCTAAATTGCCATTATTGTTTCTTACTAGACTTACTTTTTTTTAAATATCAGAATGTTGAAGAAATCACTTTTAGAATACAAAAACAGTTAACTAAAGCGTTTTAATCAAAGCATTTTTGGGTAGGCCTTGGCTACATCACCATCCAATTGGTATCTGGAAGTTACTGGTCCCTACAAACAAACAACTTTTAAACATCAGATTTGAATTCCACTAAAAGAGACATTCTACTATTGAACTTGGAAAGTGGGATAAGCATAAGTAACATGAATAGGTAAAATGCTAATGTCAGGTATGCAATGGTCCATCAACAGTATTTATTTAGGGATATTTTGAAACATTGCAGACTTCATCTTGCTAAACAATGTTGTTCTTAGATGGAGCATAATGTTATTAACTATTTTTGTTTCAGTTTTTCGCAGGATGGTGGTTTATAATTGATGCGGCTTCTGTATACCCAGGGGATCTGCCTAATGCAGCTCATGTATGTGGAGTGATGGCCACCCTGTCAATGATAATGGTCAATTCGGTGTCAAATGCACAGGTAAACCAATGTTTAATCAGCGTATAAGATAATTGCTTGTATTGGTGAATTAAATACCTAAATCTTAATATTAAGTGTTGTCCTATTACTATTATGTCATCCTATTATTATTATTTAGTGATTAGTGTCCCTGAATGCAGTGTTGAAGGTTGCAGGTTTGATTAATTCATCGAGCAAACATTTGTTTCATAATATATAATATTGTTCGTTCTTGTCTCATTGTAAAAAATTATTATGTGATATAAAAGCATGTATATGGTTATGTCTATGGGTCCCAAAGACAGGGAATGTTAGTTTGGAGCCTTTGCTACTTGTCCTCTGCTATTATTACTATTATTATTTAGGTTATTGACTTAAGATTACTTTAGGTTTTATCATTAGATTCAAAAAAAAAAATAGGCCTGAAAAAGATCTACTTCTTCTCTAAATGAATTCCACGAAACCTGATAAGGTGACAATCATCTTAGGAATGTTCAGGTCATCACACCACTCTATACACTAATAATGGCCCTTGTAACTTTCAGTGTACACAACAGACAGAGACACACAATATCTTTTTGATATTATTTTAGTATTTGATCTAAAAATATTTCTGTGATCTGTCAATAAGACATCTGTACATTACATATTATTATCTATGGCCTCACGTCCTTATGGATCCATCAGATCCAATAATCCTTGCATTAGACACCTTTAGTTCCGTACTCGTCAAACTCAGCAAAGAGTTTGACGTGCAACCTAACCCTTGCATCAGCCAGCTGAGTTTCTCGCTGCATCATTGCAGCAGGTCATCATTAATATCTCAACAATAAAAAAATCTAAGGCCAAAATCTATATATGGATGTAAATATGAATGAAACAGTTTCTGAGAAAGCCACCATAACTATTTCAGGTTCGTGGAGAAACATACACAGGTGGTTGCATGGGACCGCGTGGTGCCAGACTTTGGCTCTTCCTTGGATTCGTTGTTGGTTTTGCGTCCCTCATTGCTGCCTGCTGGATACTCTTTGCGAACTATGTTAATGCTAGTAAGTTTTCTACAAATATATCGATGCAACCTTATGCAAAATTTTACAGTTCACCTTATATGGTTATTCAAACATCTAAATATCACAATGCAAGTGTCTGAGATAGCAATTTTTTTATTTTTTATTATTGCTTAGATGGGTGGACGAGCTCACAGCCCACCTGGCGTTAAGTGGTTACTGGAGCCCATAGACATCTACAACGTAAATGCGCCATTCACCTTGAGATATAAGTTCTAAGATCTCAGTATAGTTACAACGGCTGCCAAACCCTCCAGACCAAAACGCATTACTGCTTTACGGCAGAAACAGGCAGGGCGGTGGTAACTACCCGCGCGGACTCACAAGAGGTCCTAAACCACCGGTAAAAACATGACTTTTGCCACATGCATATGCTGCCCATTGCTTATTGAATATTTAGTCACCTTTACATAGAGGAAGCGATGAAGTAGTACAATTCTAAGATAACAATATTTTTATTTTGAAATTATAGTGACTTGAATGGCAGGTATGTGGTTATTATCATTGTGTTAATTTTTAGGTTCCTCCAAACACGCCTGGCCTGGAGTGGGTTTGTTCATGCAAAATGCCTTCATTTTCGCTGGATCTCTCGTGTTTAAGTTCGGACGCACTGAGGATCTTTGGTCTTAAGCTTAAAATCTACATAGTAAAGTAATATTATTTAATTAAAAATACTCCAACTTGTATCTGTTATTATTAATCGCTTCCTAATAATAAAATGAGGTGACTTTGTTTTTATTAGTTTGTAATTAAATTTTCCATAATAAACTATATGATTCCATTATGTGTTATAGTAAATTTGTTTTCAGTTATCACTGACCATGTATCACCAATGTGATGTATTCCTCCTTATATATATATATATATATATATATATATTTACTTAAATTCATTATTTATTGAATTTTGGATTTGGGCTTTCATATAAATAATAACTTTTTTTAACAATCACAAGAGAATCAAATAGTTTCCAAATTTTAGGTTTATTGGTGGATCTACTAACAATAGACGCAGGGCTGCATAAATTAAGAGATTAGGTTGAAGTCCTAATTGTACCATGACGCTTGTCCCATCCGTTGCTCAGAATGACTGGTGAACAGATATAGACAGTGTGTGGCTATATTACAGCAAATTGGACTGTCAAAATTAAATAATCGCAAATCTTAGGCAGTGAACACTCACCTTAATACGAGAATGAAAAAAATTAGTAACATTTTTTATGGTTTAAGAAAATAATATATCTGTTTTATCCATAAATAATTATAAAATATTATTCAGTATATTATTATACTGCAGCTTTAAGGAGTATGAAATTCTGCAGTAGCATGTTGCAATGTGGAAAGAAATCGTGCAAATAAATTATTGTAATCGTTTATTATTTAATAAATTACAAATATTGTGGCGTGCTATATATTTTAAAATAACTTTGGTTTAAGCTTTTTGGTATAAAGTAAAACTAGATAAATAAAATTTTATTTCAAGTTTGCATTATCATAGTCGGTGTTGCCTTATTAAAAATTTACAACTGTTTTACTAATAAGATAAAAATTTTGGTTAATAATTCGATTACATGTCTTAAACGATAATGTATATTCGTATTAACAATGATTTAATTTTAATTGTGCAATGTATATTTTTGTTAATAAATTTGCATATTTGCAACACATTTAATTATGGGTCGTATTTTTTTTTATAAAATATATAAAAAATAATCTAAAACAGGTTAATTTTTAGCGCCATATTTCATTAAGTACCTAAAAAATAATTATTGTCTCGCTGATAAAGTCAATTTACTTTATAAAGCACTTAAATAACATTAGAAACTACAATTCTTAAAAGTTGTAAAGTTTGTATGACTACTTTTTGATTACTATGCGTCTCAAATATTAAACCTTTAAAAAAGGTTAAATGTTTTCGTAGTGACGTGGTAAAAAAACGTAATTTTCAAATTATTTAAGTCTGTCCATTTGTTACAGCTAAACTTGAATATTAATACTATACCGATAAAAAAATCGAAAGTAAATGTATTCTATAAATAGTGTTTCGAATTTGATTTGTAGCTTAGAAATCGAAAAGCAGCAGTTAATTTTGAATAATGGTCAATCAACGTGGATTACATTGCTGAGGGTTATCCGAAACTCGCTTGTTGGGTTATTTTTATGTTTACATGAATTAAAAATGGAAACGACTTAGTCTTTTGAATCGCATAGTATTCAAGCTGACAATTATTCTTTATCAGCTAAGGTAAATAGTTGGCATCACCGTTCAGACAACTCCTTCCCCCACTTCCGTTGGGTAGGCATAGCTGTCCGGCGTCGCAGTTACCGTTTCTTTGCGAGCAAACGTTGGCAGCCCCGGGACACTCGCTCGGCGCGTTGGCAACACCGTATAACCGTATCGTCGATCTTGGAATGTCTATTTGCCCTCTCGCCTGGGTTATTGTGTCTATGATTTCGATTTTCAATCTGAAAATGAATTCAAATGGCTTTAGGTTAACCTTAACGGTGCTTAGGTAACTAAATTATACGTAACTGCAAAGTAAGACTGATAATTGAAGACATGAGTGGATGAAGGGGTTAAGTACGATTTTTAAGATTTTTACATTGAATGAAGGTGTTATATGCCTATAAACCATATTAGATATTAAAAGTTTAAAGGCTATTTTTAGAAATTGCATGTGATTAAGGTGTTATGTACGAAGAAAAAGTAGGTACAAATAACAAAAGCTTGTTGCACGTTTTCTCAAAATTTACAAATATTATCATCCCCTTCATCCACTCATTTCTTCAATTGAATCCTTTGTATTAATACATATTTGTAACAATATTCGTAATTCAAGACGTAATTTTATTGGTACTTTAAAAAAATACCTATCAACCGTAAATTTATATCTTTTTATGTGCAAAAAAAATTTAAATAGAAAAATACAGCTTTCGACTCACGTTCTCCAATCGCTCCAGTACAATTTGTCTCCGTTGATGGCGAGGCCGAAGGGGTACCTGCAGTTCTCCGCAATAGTCTCGATTTGCCGACTGTTTAGGTCAATGCATTTAATGACCTGGAGGCCCGCGTCCGCGAAGCAAACTCGATCTCTCGACCAGTCGATGGCCACAGAGTTTGGAAGCTTCACATCTGGGCTACCGAGGAGGACTGATCTTTCCGTGCCGTCCATGTTCGCCCACTCGATCTTAGGATTGCTTCGATTCCAGTCAGTCCAGAAGATTTTCCTTTAAAAAATAGTTTACAATTGGTATTCTAAATGTTTTTAAGGTAAGTAGCGGCTTGGCTCTGCCCTTGGCATTGCTGAAGTCCATGGGCGACGGTAACCACACACGTTCCGGTAGGCCGTATGCTCGTCTGCCTACTAGGCCAATAAAAAAAATGTTTTTTAAAAGCCTAAGGCTACCTGAAAATTATGTATTTAATAATGCACGCAATAAAACCATTAAAAGTCAGTTGACCCCCGGCGATCTCCCTGTATTTACGAATTACCAACGTATTAGAATATGTTACTTTCAGCATATAATGAATTTCCGTAAGGTCTGCATAGAAATAAATTTAAATTCAAATTTTTACTGGTGGTAGGACCTCTTGTGAGTCCGCGCGGGTGGGTACCGCCACCTTGCCTATTTCTGCCGTGAAGCAGTAATGCGAACTTATATCTCAAGCTGGGTGGCGCATTTACGTCGTAGATGTCTATGGGCTTCAGTAACCACTTAACACCAGGTGGGCTGTGAGCTCGTCCACCCATCTAGGCAATAAAAAAAAGTTTCTAGATTTTTAAATTTTAGATACTTACCCTCTTTGAGGATGTACGGCGATGCCCCTCGGATTAGAAATGTTCTGTACCGAGAACAAGACTTTTCTAACTTTTGTGTCTAAATTGGCAACTTCAATAGTGAGCTTCTTAGAATCTGTCCAAAATATGTTTCTAGCCGACCAGTCTATTGCCAAACCTTCCGGAGATATGATGCCTGAAAACAATTATAAGTATCTGTTAAATATGCATTTCATTACTTCATTTTGTCGTTAAAATGTATTAATGTAATGAAATTTACCAGTGTTCAGGAATTGTTCAAATTCTGATCCGTCGTATCCAGCTCGTTTGATGTTATTGCTGACAACATCGCCCCAGTAGATTTTTCCAGAGAAACAGTCGACGCTCACGGAAACTGCCACTTGGGAAATGCCGCTGTTAATCGGAGTTGCAAACTCCCTCGGTGAATACTTGAACGGGACGCGGTAGATTGAAGTTCCATCACTTGTCACTAAAAAGTTACCCGGCGGCTGAGGTTTCGCAACGCAGAAAGTGCCGTTACCCTCGTATGCATTATTGCATTCACATTCGTAGCCTTCAATGTTCTTTATGCACGAAGCGTGAGGACTGCACATGTAAGGATCAGTTCTGCAGTTGATTTCCTGACTGCAGTTGTAGCCGTCGCCCAGATAGCCCTCTTGGCACACGCACTGGTAAGTGTTGTCAGCTGGCACGCAGCTCGCGTACGGACTGCAGTCGTTGACTAGGTCACACGAGAGTGGGGTCTGGACGCATTGGGATATGCCTTCGCCGTTAAAGCCCTCGTCGCAATGGCAGTAACTGATTTCAATGGTGGCATCGTACAAGCACGAGGCGTGCTCAGCACACAGCGCGCCATTACACAATTGACCGTCAGGGATGCAAGCTTCATTTTGGTCCTTTTTAAATCCTTCGATGCACTGACAAGTGTATTCGTTTGTGGCAGTATCAGGACGGCATTCAGCGTTGTATTCACAGTCCGAGTTGTTTGTACAACTGAAATTCGGACGGCAGACGTAGCCGTCTCCGTGGTAGCCGGTATTGCAGACGCATAGAAGTTCCGCAGTTGGCGTTTCCGTACAATGAGCGTTGGCTGCACAATTGCAGCTGGTTCCGGTTTGCTCGATGCATTCGTATCCATCGCCCACGTAGCCTTCAGGGCAAACGCAGTGTCCGAGGAACTGATCGCTCTCAGCATCCGTTGAGTATTGATGTGGGTCCGCTATACAAGCAGCGTTTGGTGGGCAGTCACTGTCGCTATCGCACCTGACTAGAATAAGATAATATCATTATTTTTATACATACGTAGCATAAGTAGACTTGAAATAATGAACAAATATATATTCCTAACCTAACACATAATAATATCTTTGTTAAAAAAAACTTATCATCCTATAAAAAAAACTTACTTGAAGTGTCATTGTTATCGGTGATAGGGGTCGGCACGTCGCCTGTATCAACACGACACAGATCGTTGTTTCTCTCATCTTTGAAACTGTAGTAGCCTTGGGGGCACGTGCAGCCGTAATAGTCGCAGTTAGGCAACACGAATGTTTCGTTATATTCCGATTCGTAGTTAGGCGCCGTGGTTGTCTCTGGAGGTCTTTCAGTGCAGCCGGAGCCTTCGTAACATCCGCGCTCATCGACTTCATAGCACTGTTGCCCGTTACCAGTGTAACCGGGTCTGCACACGCATATCGGTTCTTCTCCATTGTTCTCTAAACAGTCCGCGTTCACATCGCAACTCAGACTTTGGCATCGAGATATAGACAACGGTGAACATTCGATTCCGTTGCCAATGAATCCAGTTTTGCATCGACATTGAAAGTCTCCTTCCCCGTTGTTGCAGTCAGCGTTTGGATCGCAGTTATGTGTTCCGGCTGCGCATTCATCAATGTCGACACAGGTCAGCACATCGTCAACATAAATCTTGTTAAATCCTTTATTACAAACGCAGCTAAAGGAATCACCTTGGACGACACACGTGCTGTACGAAC